GGAATTAATTTTCACTGAAAAGACTTTTTCAGTCATTTGTATGGAATTGAGTTGAATGTAAAATATAGGAAAAATGGTATATTTCATTTTTCATTGAATCATCCCTTCAGCGAACATAATGAAATTAGAAAGTTTTACAGTAATAATCAGTGTATACAGTTTTTCAATATACGTTCATGCTGCTGATTTCTCCATCAAAACAATATTTGATTGGGCTGTTTAGACGGTGAATTTGTGAAATACAGAACTGTGAGTCTCCATCATTCTTGGTTTCTGCCAATATTTATATTGTTGCCTTCTTTCATCAAAACTGGAATGCAGATTGCTTTCATAGTTACCAGGTAATGTGATTTAGAAAGCTTTTCCCAGATTTAATTATTCTGATACAACATCTGCAAATTTTCTATTTTTGGTGAATGGTTGTGGACAGATCGTTTTAGTAAAAAAAAAAAACTCATCATGACATGTCATTTTTTTGTAGAAAAATATCTGGGAGCATTTATTTCCCACTTTTCTGGTGAACATAACTACAAACACAGAGATGTTCGCTTACATAAATGGGCTCCCCCTGTATTTCCTTATATAGTAATGGATAAAAATTATATTCTTGAAGGCGAAGCTACATCACAGAATGTTATACGTTGCTAAATCTCACCTTGATCCACCGACTGTCCTAGTGTTGGCGCAATTTTAATTAGACAGAGTGATCCACTTTTATCAACGCCGATCAAACTGCAACATGTGACTGACATCTCAATACAGAAGAGTTGTTTACCGTTGTTTGTATTTTTTTGTCTTTTGGCTAAGAGAAGAAAACAATATATAGTACTGTAACACGATAATTTTACATTAATAATGAGTTATAGCATAGTTACTGGTACATGTATATGGTTTCTGTGCAAGAATGGGGGGGGGGGTGATTTCTAGCCACACAACATTTACGCAGAGAAATCAACCCAACTACGCAGACACAGTGTTTTTACACAAGAGTGTGCGAGTTACCAAGGTAACGGCGGAACGCACAACTTTTGTTCATTCTCTTCCTCTCAACACCAATGTATTAAAACTTTCATCATCACATTTCACAAAATAAATTTGTTTCCATATTTGTGTTGTCTATGAAAAATTATGTCCAATTTGTGTAAAATTAACAAAGAAATTGTAGAGAGATGCATAAAATGGTTAAGGTTCAAAAGGTTAATCAGGACAGGGGTTGAAGAATATGGAATTTTTCCACTGGTCCAGGACTAGTGATAAGAAAATTTTCACTAGTCTGTGTAATAATTTCACTGGTCCTGAAATGATGTTTTAACATTATTTGTTTATTTTCTAACAGCATATTTCATTTTTAATACATATACATGTACATGAGTAAGTTACTTTTCTGATACAATCTCAGGTAATGGAGCATGTTCATCAGTTTTAGGTTGAGGTAACTTATGTCCTGATATATGCCTTGAAGTTGATGAAGATAACAACCATTCAACAATTGCTGGGTCAGGATTATAATCAGCTAAATCTGGTCCTTCAGACATAACAAATAATTGGTTCTGAAAATTGTTATGATTTAGTCTAGTTCTGAGTTCAGTTTTTATAACATTCCCTTTAAAAAAACCTCTCTCACAAGCACTAGTACTAGGTGATACTGTTAACATATATTCCAATAATTTCTTAACTGGTGCACTAATAACATCATTTGCACT